AACCCACCATATCAGCGCCCGCCTTAGTGAGTGCGGTCGGAAGACAACCATATGATCACACAGATTGCACGTCTCTGGAGGCTTCTGGCTCTCAGCGAGGCCTTTCATAATGGCGCTCAAACCTCTAAAATATTGCTTCAACACCCTCTGGCTTGGCTACTCCCTACCCCCCCCCACCCGCACCCCCCCCCCCCCCCCCCCGAGAGTCAGACACAACTAGACTTAATGTCAGGGGAAGCCTTTATCCTTTATCTTTAAATCAAGTCAAGATAGCAACAGAATATGGTTGGCAGATGTTGGAAGAGAGTAAAAGCGGAAAGTGGAAGGATAATGGGAAAGACTAAAAAGGATGAGAAACAGGATTAAGTTTATTGTTGAATGTTTTCATGGCCAGAATCCCTGGGTTGTTGTGAGTTTTCTGGGCTGTATGGCCATGTTCCAGGAGCATTCTCTCCTGACATTTCACCTGCATCTATGGCAGGCATCCTCAGAGGTTGTGAGGTGGATTTTATGTTCCAGGAGAAAATGCTTCTGGAACATGGCCATACAGCCCAGAAAACTCACAACAACCCAACAGGATTAAGGTTTGGACGAAGACATTTAAAAGGTGAGACAATGTGATTGCGGAAGAGTGATACTGAGGATGGATTGAGGATTGCGTTAACACTACTTGATTTATGGTAATTTAAATAAAAGATCCATAACGATATAAAATTGTATTTAATAAACTTATTTTATTTGTTCAACAAAAGCATGCCTACTGCCTGGTTACTATACCAGTGTTTTAGGGTTGGAGCCTAAATATTGATGGAACAACAACCTTTATAAAAGGAGTAATGTAGAGCAGTGGTTCCCAACGTTATTGTTAACCGCGGGACCTTTTGTGTCTGCAGATCCCCAAGACTTAATTCAAGATTTAAGGCACTAGACTGCATCAAATAATTATTTCAATTTCCTTCAAATTAAGTTTTCCAAAAGAAGCATGGAAAATTAAGATTTTGTTTAATTTCCCTTTTTGGCTTTCATTCTTTCTTTCTTTTGTTCGTTCACTTGTTCGTTCATTCGAATTTTAAAAATTCATAACATTTCTTCAATCCTTCATGGACTCAAGGTTGAGAACCACTGATCTTCAGTATTTGGGTCCGTTGAGAATCCTGGTGATGGCATTCTGTATGGATTTAGAGTAGAGATCACCCTTGATTGTGAAGAGCAGTATTATCAGAAGTAATACTTGGATGTAAGATCGCCAGAGAAATAATTGTGTCATTGTTGGTTCAATAGCATTGTATTGTTCCTGTTGTAAACACTATGGAGGGGTCTTTCATTGATATTGGGGCCCCCTAGTGGTGTAACAGGTTAACCCGCTGAGCTGTTGAACTTGCTGACCGAAAGGTTAGCAGTTCGAATCCAGGGAGCACAGTGAGCTCCCGCTGTTAGGTCCAGCTTCAGCCAACCTAACAATTCAAAAATATGCAAATGTGAATAGATCAATCGGTACCGCTTTTGCAAGAAGGTAATGGTGCTCCATGCAGTCATGCTGGCCACGTGATCTAGGAGGTGTCTACGGAAAACACCGGCTCTTCAGCTTAGAAATGGAGATGCGCACCACCCCCCAGAGTCGGACACGACTAGTCTTAATGTCAGGGGAAACCTTTACCTTTCATTGAGCAATATATAATTCTGAGTTATATACACTACCCCATTGTGGGAAGTAGACATAAACCTCAGTGATTTATGTCTTTCTTGCTACAAGTAATATAGATGGCCACAAAAATGTGAAATGATTGTGTGGGTATGGCATGTTGATATGAATGTGTGTATAGAGGCCTTCAGTTCATATATATTTTAAGATGTATCAAAATTGCTGATAGCGATTTGTTGGAATAGTTTGAATTGCACTCATGTACTTTGAAACATAAAAAATGGGCTCTTGAGTGCTAAACGTTTACGATCTGGTTTACTAATACCAAAAAGCTGCCTGTTACTGTAGCCCAGACAAGAACTGTCAACTCTGGAACTCTGTTTTAATTTTTGCAACTAATTTGCATGCATTTAGATTTCTATTCAGGACCTAGATCCAGCTAATATTAATGACTTTGCACAAAATTAAACTAAAAATATCATCCACTAGAGGGTGCAATGGCCCTTCCTATTAATTATACTAGAAATCACTGTTTAAAACCATTGACTGGCGGCACAGATCTAGATTTAATGTCTTTGTTGTTGGAAAAGTGAAGAGAAACTGACTCTTTTGAAGGGTCTTTAGAGCTCTGCCTAGTAGTTGATGTCAGCTATTTGTACATTGCATAGGTCTGCAACTGAGCTTGCAAAGTGAATTCTTCTGTCGGCAAGTAGGCTGCTAACTAATTGAGTTAAACTGACCAGATTTTCTCAGAATTCACCCTGGCCCCCAGTGGCACAATGGGTTAAACCCTTGTGCTGGTAGGACTGCTGACTGAAAGGTCGGCGATTTGAATCCAGAGAGCAGGATGAGCTCCTGTCTGTCAGCTCCAGTTTCCCATGCAGGGACATGAGAGAAGCCTCCCACAGGATGGTAAAACATCAGGCGTCCTTTAGGCAACGTCCTTGCAGACGGCTAATTCTCTCACACCAGAAGCGACTTGCAGTTTCTCAATTTGCTCCCGACACACACACAAACCCCTGGCCTACTTGAATGCTTTCTAAAACATCAGCCCAGCAGGTACAAATGAATAAAGTGCAAAACTTCTTGGGAGTTGTTCCAGATGGTGGTGGTCTCCATCTTGAATAGTCCACATGCTTTCATTTGAGGTTGGTTTGAATCACAGGAAGGGACTGGCAATTATCAAGTCAAAAGTGGAAGGAATCCATTAAGACTTGAACTGAGAGTAAGAGGGGAGTCAGATTCAGAATTAAGCTTTATGGACTGTTGCAACCAAATGCAGCTCTGGATTTCAGAGACACTGTCTACTGTAAAAGATGAAAGAATCCATGATGCCCAAAAGCAAAGTATGTTCATGTACCTTCATTTATTAGTCCATTTCAAAGGTGACTGGCATTTGATTTCTTCATAACCCTTTGTTGGAAAATGTGTTAAACAAATCAGAGCAGAGGAAAGAAAGACAAGTGACTGCCTTTGAGCCATGTAATTTGCATCTGGTCTTACGGTAAGGGTGAGGAAGTTGCAGACATTCAGATGAGGCTGTACCAGGAACTGAGATGGTTTCTGGTATCTTGACCTAGAACTGCTGCAGGGAAAAATAAAAATAGTAATTGCCACATGATCTAGAATAACATCCACCTATTGCCAAAATGTACTCCACCCTCAGCTGAACATGGGTTCCTTGATAGTGTAGAATAGAAGTAGAGCAAACAGTATTTTTGTATTTACAAGGTTTGCAATAATTGTAGGTTGTGCACTAGATAAAAGTAATCAGTAGATGCCAAAGTGCACAGTTAGCGGAAAGCTGTTCGTATTGCATTTTCAAAATTTAGAATTGGCTCTTAGCCCTGTTTACACTGGCAAAATTGTATTTCCACAAAAACTTGTCTAGGTATTTAAAGGTAAGTAAGTAGGGGAATGGGGATGCATGCTCCAGACTTCATTCAGTCTCCCAGTTTTCACGGGAAAGGTATGCAGTGCAAACAATTTACGTTAGTTGGCATAATTAAAAAGCTCTGCAGTTGGGATGCCACAAAAACACAATTCCTGATCATGGGGAGCTTTATAATCGCATGCACTTAAATGCATCTTCCTTTCCTGTGTGGACATTTGTAGTCAAAACATGGAGACTGAGCGGCAGGAGCTGGACTGGAACAATGTTCTAATCTCAAATACAAAACTATTATTTCCTGAGTTCATATCAAGACTGTCATGTAGGAGTGGAGGTAAATAAGAGTGGGAATCTGCAGTTCTCCAGATGTGGGTGGATTCAGGTCACAGCAGTTGTAGTCAACATATTGGTGACCCAAATTCAAAGCTTCAGCCTGCAATTTAAGGTGAGTGCTGGATTTCTATCTCTAAAACTTGATTTTCATAGCTGTTCCTTACTTCATATGGAGATCAGGACATGGAAGCAACATACCATATATACTTGAGTATAAGCCAACCCGAATATAAGCCAAAGCACTTACTTTTACTACAAAAAATGGAAAAATGTATTGATTCACCGTGGCCCCCAGTGGCACAATGGGTTAAACCCTTGTGCTGGGTTTTGAGTATAAACTGAGGGTGGAAAATGCAGCAGCTACTGGTAAATTTAAAAATAAAAATAGATACCAATAAAATTACATTAATTGAGGCATCAGTAGGTTAAATGTTTTTGAATATTTACATAAAGTTGTAATTTAAGATAGGACTGTCCAACTCTGAGTAAACCATTCTAATGTGCTTACATATCCTTCCAATAATAATAAAGAGAGTAAAATAATAAATGTAACAATAATAAAAAGTAAAATAATAAGTAATAAAATAATAGAGGAAAATAATGTAAATGCAATAATAATAAATAGAGGAAAATAAATGTAATAATAGCAAAATGATAAATAACTTCAACTCAAGTATAAGCCAAAGGGGGCTTTTTCAGCCTAAAAAAGAGCTGAAAAGCTCGGCTTATGCTCAAGTATATACGGTTAAGTACAATCCTGCTTCCAGTCACATCTAATGCCAGCTACTTTATAACCTAATGGAAGGAATCCTCATTTTAAAAAACAAACATCGTTTTATCCCGCTTTGAAAAAATGCATAAGTTGATTTACAAAGATCACTAATAATATATATCCCTGCTCAAAGCCTAAAATCTAAAAGTAAAGAAAAATATATTGTAATGCAGTGGTGGAGACTCAAACTCTGGCCTTAGTTGTTTCAGTGATAAGATAGATTACTCAAGTGGAGGAAATAGCTACATTCCTCCTTTTCTTCTGGAATTACCTGATGGCATGAATGGCCGTTGCCAGGTGGAGATTGATAGACGGAAGAAGGTGATAGAATGGCTTTTGTAAAGAATTGATGGCTATTCAAAAGTGCCGGACTTTAGCAGGCATCTGGCACATTGTATTGATTATCAACTCTTCTGGATTTTGGCAGATCTTTGTAACGATAGAAACAGAATTTTATTTAATTCTTGCTAGCATCTTTGGGAAAATCAGGCAGAAGAGGAGCAACCCGTCTTAAATTATTGAGGAAACTAAAAAGCATGTCTTTCACGGCTGCCTCTTCTCTAATTGGGGTGATAAATAATGCATACGAACAAAACATTTGAGCCTTGCAAGCTGCTAAATTTCCTATGAAAGACCTTGAAAGACCCTCACTTATGATGGATTTTCAGAAGACTGTCTAGACTACAAGTATCTATAAAAGGCAAAGAAGAGGGTTTCTGATGTCCTCCTGAGGCAAGGCTCCTATGCTTTGAACAGTTGACGGCAAATAGAAATCCAAAAGATGGGACTTATTCCAGCTACAGCTAAGGAAGGGGAAGTTTCAGCTGCAAAATCCCAGCTTGAAGGGCATAAATAGAACAACCTTTGTTCAGAACAGTGTTTGTAAGTACCCTTCCAAATCTTTACGCTAAAAATAGTTATTTAAAATACTCCAGTTTCTTACTCTATATGCTGTTTCCAGCATATAATTAATTCTACAACCACCACTCTCTGTTTCCTGTAAAGATGGATGGGATTATTTGGGTCCCACCACAAGCCTCTTCCTCCCAGTTTGTTTAATACAGTTGGGTTCAAATATAACTTTAGCTAAAACTTGATCAGATTCCTCCCCCCCCCCCCCCAATTATAAAATATAGCTTCCATGATCCCTTGTGACTGGTGTTTAGGGCTGATGTAGTCCAGCAATGTTTGTTTGGCAACATGTACGCAGGGAGGAATAGAACTACTATAATAATGCAGAGGAAGTGAATACAACAAGAAAAAAGGAAGAACAAGAGAATCTTCCACAAGATCTGAAAGACTAAAGGGAAAATTAAACCAAGAGTAGGGATGCAACAGTAGAGAAGCCTCCCACAGGATAGTAAAATATCCAACATCCTTGCAGATGGCCAATTCTCTCACACCAGAAGCAACTTGCAGTTTCTCAAGTCGTTCCTAACATGAAAAAATACATTAAAGATTGTAGTATGATGTAATGGATTATGAATTTCTTAATGATTTAAGCTTAAACATGTTTATGTCATTCATAATCTGAATAGACTTCCAAAGTAGCATGCATGCAAACAGTGAAGTAAGAGAGTCTGTCACTATATATTTAAAATCCACAAAATTTTGTTTCATGTCAGGAGCGGCTTGAGAAACTGCAAGTCACTTCTCGTGTGAGAGAATTATCCGTCTGCAAGGATGTTGCCCGGGGCACCTGGATGTTTTGATGTTTTACCAGCCTTGTGGGGAGGCTTCTCTCATGTCCCACATGGGAGCTGGAGCTGACAGAGGGAGCTCATCCTACTCTCCCCGGATTGAACCTGTGACCTATCAGTCTTCAGTCCTGCCAGCACAAGGGTTTAACCCATTGCGTCACTGGGGGCTCCATCCATAACATGAACAGGTGGGAATGATGACCAAAACCCAAGCTGAGCGAGGAAGATAGACACTTTTGAATTGTGGTGTTGGAGGAAAATTTGGAGAGTGCCTTGGACCGCAAGAAGATCCAACCAGTCCATACTTCAGGAAATAAAGCCCAGTTGCTCACTGGAGGGAAGGATATTAGAGGCAAAGATGAAGTACTTTGGCCACATAAGAAAGACAGGAAAGCTTGGAGAAGACAATGATGTGGGAGGAAATGGAAGGAAAAGGGAAGAGGGGCAGACCAAGGTCAAGATGGATGGATGGTATCCGCCCTGAGTCCCCGCAAGGGGTTGAGAAGGGCGGGGTACAAATATTCAAAATAAATAAATAAATAAAAATCTTTGAAGTGACTGGCATGACCCTGAAGGAGCTGGGGGTGACCACGGCCAACAGGGAGCTCTGACGTTGGCTGGTCCATGAAGTCGTGAAGAATCAGAAGCGACTGATACACAACAAAAGTATCAGTCCTAGGTAGCACAGTTCATAATGGGGGCTGATGGAAAGCCACAGTGACCTACACCTTGTGAAGAATGTAAATGTTACAAACGAATGGTAATGGGTTTTATATGTTCCTGTATAAACTCCTAATTTGTGTAAAGATGAAGTACTTTGACCACATAATGAGATGACAGGAAAGCTTGGAGAAGACAATGATGCTGGGGAAAATGGAAGGAAAAAGGAAGAGGGGCCGGCCAAGGTCAAGATGGATGGATGGATGGTATTACATACAAATGGTAATGGGTTGTATATGATCCCGTATAAACTCCTAATTTTGTAAGGACATCACTGTGCATGGGAAGTTCAACCTATCTTTCCAATGTCCACTATAATTTCTAAAAGCAATGTCTGATCTACATTTCGGTTTCGGATCTTCTGTGGATGGGGTGTGTGTCTATATGGGGAGTAATAACCAAAGCGATGGCTGTTTATCATGGCAGCTGAAGGCCAGTCCTGTTGCCTTCTCTGTCTTCCCGGGGAGCATCGCCCGTTGAGGGGAATGAGCACAATGGTGTGCCAGTGAAACAGTCATTCAAGCGTGTTAATCTTTGCGTCAGGTCGCTGAATGGAAACAAGGCACACATTGTTCCTCCAGGGGACAAGAAGAGCTCGGAAAGAGTTGCAAGGAATAAAGATCAAAACCAAATCATGCCCACTTGGGAGGAGAGGCAGAAAAGGAAATATAACATTCATTTCTTTTCTGTTTTAAACAGCACCTTAAGGCTTGTAAACATGATTTTTTGCTTTTATCACCAGATGACATAAAGAATATATGGTTTCTACAGAGACTTTTGCAGAACAGCATCCGTTTAGCAATGGTTTTTGGAATCTGCAAAAATTCACACCATTAAGGATTAACGATTCCATGATTATTGATCCATCCCAACCAGCATGTGCAATGCTAATTGGTATCCAATGGAACATATATGAATTTGCAAGATCAACTGTGGTTTAGTTTTATTTTTATGTGTCTCCAAGTTTAAATGCTAGGACTGAAGACCAACAGGTTGGAGGTTCGAATCTGGGAAGAGTGTCAGCTCCACCTCCCCATGCGGTGACATGAGAGAAGCCTCCCACAAGGACGGTAAAACATCAAAACATCTGGGTGTCCCCTGGGCAACGTCCTTGCAGATAGGCAATTTTCTCACACCAAAAGCGACTTGCAGTTTCTCAAGTCACCCCT